TATACGTCAGAAAAATGCAAATAAATTACAAAAATCATGTACACTAACAGCAGTTGATCCTAGCAAAAAGACCGCTACTACTGATAAACACAATAAAGTACATATCGATAACTTGAAGCGTCCCCGTCACAAACCATATTCATTTAGCAACTAAATGTATCTCTCCAAGTACTACATACAGACATGCAGGTATTATTCATTTACAGATTCCTGCAAGTAACGGTTGGACTTCAGGATAGCATAACTATACGTAACCTCGACAATAATCCAGGACTACTTCCCGTGGAAATTGGTGAAGTAAAAGACTATGACTTTTCACTCATTCATTATTATGATTTCTTCAAATTTAAATGTCACTACATATTTGTCCAATTATTTCAGAACATTAAAAATTGTTCAGGGACAGGTAGAACAAAAGTTACATAATATATTTCACCATACAAAGCGAGGAAAAAGAGGCATATTAAATGGCATTGGGTCGATATTCAAATCAATAACTGGAAACCTTGACGAACGTTTCGAAAATCTAATTCGAGAGCTTCAAAATAATCAAAGAGAATTGACTAACTGTGTCACACAGAATAATGCCCTGTCAGTGTCTCTTATTGATAAGTTCAATAAAACTGTTCAGCAAGTCTGTCATAATGAACAATTGCTGAATAATAAAATTAATACCATATATGCAATTGTTCATCGTACTACAATCAATTCAGATCAGCATAAATTCATAACAGACACAGTATCTCAAATTATGAACAGCTACGAAGTAACTCTGTCAATATTGCAAGACGTTGAAAATTCAATAATTTTTGCACGTCTTGGGACAATTCACTCTAGCATTATTATAACCGAGGAAATTTTTGGAGAACTGAAACTATTGAGCTCAAGATTAGGCCAAGAAAAATTTGCGAATCCGGTTTTACTAGATAACATACCAACTTTTGAAAAAATAATCAAAATCTCCAGTTATTCTGTGGGCAACAAAATTACATTCGTTTTATCACTCCCAATCTCATACTCTGAGTCACTTAATTTATATCGTCTCTTTCCAATCCCGATATATTTTGAAGGTCAATTTAAGACTATCATCTCAAAAGAGCCTTATTTGGCAAAAAATGAATTGCACTTTGCACTTTTCGGCACTCCTAAAAAGTTTCTCTGCGAGAAGACCAACTTGCAAGACGTCAAGAGTCCGTTACCCTGTGAACTTGAACTATTCAATGGAAGAAACGCCACTGCATGTGCCCAAACTCCACTGATAATCAATCAGCCAAGTATCGAACGAATCAAACGGACTAATCAATGGGTATTGATCCTGCCACTACCAGAAGTTGTCAAAATGGAATGCCACGAAGAAGTGCAAATGAAAACATTGACGGGAACTTACCTACTTCATATTCCTGTCAACTGTTAAGCCGAAATCAACCATCAAAAATGAAAACGAAACGATTGTCGCGGGCCAACTTATAATATTCCCAGATTTAAACCTGGACACTAAAGGCGACATCACAGAAACAAATTTCAGTCTGCATCTAGAAAAAATTAAGCTGGATGAGTTAAGTAAAATCAAGACAAGTATTATCAACAACAAACCCAACTTCAAGAAACCTGCAGACTTTTTTATACCCAGTGCCTGGACACTGATAATATATGGATGTATATTACTCTTGGGTGTCTACGCATTCTGGAAAACCATCTTGAAGAGGAGGAAGCTCAGAAGTAGAAGTATTCAGCAACCAGAAGTCGAACTTCATCCTATTCAACTTCCGTGAAGAATTCTTCCCCGAAGTTGAATCTCAGGGGGGAGGAGTTATGTCAGCCGTTCCTGCTGATATGCCAGGAATATTGCCGACGATGCTACTAATTTCCTAGAAGACCTAGAGTTTACTTTATTGTTCTCAACACATTTTACTGTCAGTCAGATGTAAGCGTTGGTACTGTTAACAAACAATGTCTAACAACAAGGTGATAAAAATAAGTAACTGCAACCCTATCAGCATACAGTATATTCAGATAAGAGATAGACCGGATGTAAACAAAAGGTTCGGGTGATTTTCACGCTAACGCCGCCGTCTCGACGTAAAACAGGAGCCCTCATTGGTCAATTCGCAATTAAATGCCTATGCCGAGCGGCAGAGCAGTCGTATCAAGGCAGAGTCACATTCAGGTTCAGACGTGTTACGTATGTCGTGTGTATCATTGCAATTTGATATTTCTTTGGACGTTTTCGTTTGTTATCTTATTAAGTTGTTGAGTTTGTCGTTGTTATTGTTATACCTTGTTATTGTTATCAACTGCTTGCGCAAAATGCCCAGTAGAACAGATACTGCCGATGAAGTTGTAAACTCCTGTAGTCCACCTAGGAAACGCTCTAAAAAAAGACACCTGAGTGCAGAAATGAAAGAGGTCATTTTGAATATATATAAGATCGAGCGCGAGGAGAACGAGGCATCAACCATCAAAGAAATTGTTGTGAAGGTTTCTCACAAAGTTGGGGTGTGTCGCGCATCAGTGTTTAATGTGTTAAGACAATACAAAAAAAATCACACCTTTTCTGAGCCAATGACCAGTAAACATCGCAAAAGTATTGTTAAATCATTGGATGAAGCTGATAAGCATGCGATTAGGAGGAAAGTGCATGAATTCTTCTTTAGGAATGAAATACCTACTATAGATAAAGTACTGCAGGTGGTAAATGGAGATACAACGTTGCCAAATTTCAAACGATCAACTTTCCATGCGTTACTGAAGCATTTAAATTTCAAATGGAAAAAACGGGGTCGTAATAGTTTACTACTGGATAGAGAAGAAATTGTGCTATGGAGGAGGGATTATTTAACAAAAATTGGGAAATATAGAAATCAAAACAGGAAGATTTATTACCTTGATGAAACGTGGGTAAACGCAGGACACACTACAAGTAAAGTATGGGTTGATGATTCTGTAACTTCATCCAGGAGGGCCTTTCTAGGTGGACTGTCCACCGGATTAAAAAATCCAGCAGGTAAATACGAGTAATAGACAACAATCGGATGTTTTTCAAACCTTGGGAACAAGGTTCTAAACATTAATTCCAGGGGGCAGATAAAACATATTACAAGTAACAAAACTTTTATAACTTTCGATAAAATGCGTGGATGTTTTATTGTCATTTTCATTTGTTAGAACTTTTTTAAGCCATGTTTTTATGTGTTTTCGATATTTCAATAACCTTTTAATATAATCTTAAAATATGTCGAATATTATAAACTTAAAAAAAGTTACTAAGTTTTATATTGTGTACCGTTCCTAATATTTCTAATCATTTTAATTCATACTTTAAGCTTTATAAAGTTATAATTTGTTAATATTAATATTTGCGCGTATTTCAGGTTCCTGATCATTCATTTTTTAAAGGTTTATAACTTTAAATTAAATTGTGAAGCGCTGAGTAATCATACGACGTTCAATATTCTTTCTTTCAATATGACTAAATAATCCCAATTATAGCAATCTGATACTCATGTCTCAATGTTTTTTCGCTGAATGTGATGAAAACATTTGAAAAAGGTTCGCTTATTGAAATAAATCTACACCAGTTAGTACTTCGATTTCCAGGTAAAGGGAAAAGGCTCATTATCTGCCATATTGGCAGTGTGGATGGATTTGTTGTTGACGGTTTGTGGTGCTTTGAGTCTAAGAAAACTGGAGATTACCACGAGGAAATGAATGGCGAATCCTTTGAACAGTGGTTTTCAAAAATTTTACCGAACTTAGAGGAAAACGCAGTAATTGTGTTGGATAATGCGCCTTATCATTCTCGAAGAATGGAGAAGGTCCCAACAACGGCTTCAAGGAAAGTTGATGTTCAAAATTGGCTCCGCTCGAAAAATATCAACTTTGAAGAAGCAATGCTGAAAGTACAATTATTAAGAATTGTCAAGGATCACAAGGCGGAATATCAAAAATACGCCATTGACGAAATGGCAGCAAGTCAAAATAAAACTGTGCTCCGTTTACCTCCATACCATTGCGAGCTCAATCCCATTGAGCTCATATGGGCAGAGGTTAAAAATTATATAGCTAAGCACAATACAACTTTTAAATTTTGTGACCTCAAAGGACTTTTCAAAGAAGCACTAGTATTAATAACAGCGCAAAAATGGGAAAACTGTATTAAGCACGTGAAAGACAAAGTTGAAAAGAGAATGTGGGAACTGGACAATATTTTAGAGGAACCAAGTCGAGCCATTCATTATTGACGTTGGTGCTTCAGGCAGTAGCGATGATGAAAGCTCATCAAGCTCATCTTTCCAATAAAAGATGTCGTTCATCAAATTCGGTAAGTTATAAGTAATTATAAAGCTACTGTATTTTTTAATTAATTATTGACATTTTTGAACCCATTTTGGCAAAACCTATTCAAGAATCTACTTTCTGACAATGTTCAACCATGCACATTTTTTTACGTTTTGAACGTTTTAATTTGGTTACATATTTACCTAGGAATCAAAAAATATACTAATCAATATTCTAAAAGCAATTTTAAGAGATATACGATTATTTTTAATTTAGGCTAATTTAAACGCCATTTTGAGATTATATTCGACTGTATTTCACCAAACATCAGGCGGCATCCGAAGCTGGAAATCGAAGCGAAAATTTTGAAACCCTTATGTATATTTACATCATTATATATTTCTTACCCCACCCCCACATGATCCTATATCCATCACCAATCGTATACACATCGAATTGTGCTAATTTACTACAAAGTTACGCAAAGCAGCATCTACTATCTAAAATATGTACTGCGTGACTCTTAATACGTCCCTGCCGAATGTTACAGCGTTCGATGATCACGTGGTCTTGTTTATGTACGGTCTATCTCTTATCTGAATATACTGTAGATGTCGATACAAATGCAATATAAATATTTGTGAAGAAAAAAGGCTAGAACTTTTCAAAGCCTTCTATGATTTACCGTGATATGATCATCAGACTGCTTTTTTATCATCATGTCTAAAAAAAACCCAACGTAAATAGGAAAAAAATTGACAGCACTATCGAAAGAAAATTAAGCACAAATATATTTTTAGTAGAAAAGCGCCTTTGCAAATAATTTTTTCTAAAAAAATGTGTTATCTCAACTAAAAGATTTACATCTGTATGTGCTAAAACCAAATCACCTTGGTGTAGCTGGGCCAGACAAAAGAGGAAAAGGACAAACTCACAGGAGGATGAAATGAGCAACGAACTTTTGTAATAAATCATATCAAAAGGTTTGCCAGATATACAAGCCATTATTCTAGAAAAGCAAATTCACAGACGAAATACCTGTCATCAGATTTAAATATTAAGATTATGTATGATTTATACAAAACCACTTGCAAAGACGAAAACAAGATTCCTGTGAAGCTCTCTTATACTACAGATATATTTTAATAGCGAATTCAACTAAGATTTCATCGTCCACACTCAGACACCTGTTTCCGCTGTGACTATTATAAAATATACGAATGGTGATTCTAAAGTCTCACACAGTAAGGTTCACTTAGCTCTTCATCGGAAACGTGCGGAAAATGCCATAAACATGCAGAAAAGTGATATCGAGAAATACAGACTTTCAACGATACAGTAGTAAAACTTTTAATTTGCGGAAAACTCCAAGAAATATACTGAGTATACTGACCATCTTTGATTTCATTTATTCAGAGATCAGAGAGACAACCGGGACATAAGATCAGAAGTTACATTTACGTAACTAGTTACGAACACTTACTTCGCATCAGCGTTAGCGATTATGAACACCTACTTGCAGAATGACACATACACGATATCATATGAAATAGGGCCACCAAATTATCTGAATACGTCCTTTCTTAGTCCGTATATATCGCGGCGTCGCTTGGGCTGGCAGCACGAAACGGAAGATAAAATTCGTACAAAATCCGATTTGTAGAGAATTGCGCGCTTCAAAACTGACTCATTTTTGAATGAAATTTTTACAGTGTGCTGAAAACAAAATCCTGCAGGATTCTACCGAGCCACATTTTCAGTTTTCTCAGTAGGCTCTGTTTAAAAAAATCGTCAAGTTCAACAAAAAAGTTATCATTTCAAGCCTCCATAAATCTTGTGCAAAAACTAGATTTCAAAAAGTGCTCCGACAGCACCCTGGGCAATTGTCTTCTGAAGAATCTGTATGAGTTTCATTCAAAAATATTGAAAACAAATGGTATGGCAGTTTCGAACACTTGTAAATGGCTTGAAACTCACTGCGTCGGAGCTGCCTTAACACATATGTTTATCGAAATAGAACTTAGCGTTTGGATGCTTTTTAGCTATGTGATCATTGAGTGAGTCGTTACTTGCAAACATCGCTCGACAGTACGGGTTTGGAACTGGAAATAGTCTCGTGATGCGTTAACATATGTTTCTCCAAGTTGTATTTCGACACACTTTTAAATGCACATTTTGTACATTGCTTAGTTACAAACGAGATAAAATCTGGGTGTATTTTCAGCACATGATTTTCTAACGCTCTCTTGCTTCTGAACGTTTTATTACAATGGACGCATGCGTGGCACTTCTTACTACTTGAATCAGTTTGAGGATGACTCGATATACAATGATAATCAAAAGAGTTTCTTTTAAAAGTTTTATAAGAACAACGCAGGCATTCGTATACCTGCATCGAAAGTGATCCGAGGCTTTCCGGATGACTTTTGAGCATGTGCTCATTATATAAGGTTTTTAAAACCGTTTTATAAGCACACTGCTCGCATTTATGTATTTTTCTATTAACCGCTGATATAAATTCTTCGTGTTTTTTTAAAATATGATCATCTAAAGATATGCCATTTTTAAATGACACGTTACAATGATGGCAGCTATTGGGTTGAGAACTTGTATTATTCCCACCATGTTCCAGTACATGTTTCTCAAATACATTTCTTAGGACAGTTTTATAAGAACAGTTTGTACACGTATGCAGTTTACTAGTAACTGATTCGATAAATTCTGGATGTAGTCTAATTATATGATCGTCTAATGATACTTTCCTTTTGAAAGCTGCGCCACAGTGAACGCATTTGACGTCTTTATGATTTGAAATTTGCGGATGTTGTAGCATGTGGCTATCTAAAGCAGTTTTTACATTAGTTTTATAAGTACATGCTGTGCATTTATAGGTTAAATGCGTTAAAATATGTTTTTTATAACAACTGTTTATAGTAGTTTTATAAGAGCAGCTCGTGCATTCATAGATTTTGCTATACATTATAAATTCTGGATGTGCCTTAATTATATGTTCGTCCACTAAAAATTTATTTTTGAATTTAGCGTCACAGTGATTGCATTTTTGCAATGTATTGCTTATATCTATCTCAGGATGTACCGACATGTGCCTATAAAAATTAGGTTTTTTGGTGGTTTTATAAGTACATACTGTGCATTCATATACTTTGACAGTGACTGACGCAATAAACTCTGGATGTTTTCTAACTATATGCTCATTCATTGATGACGTCCCTTTGAATGTTGTATCGCAGTGAACACATCTTTTAAAGTTATCGTTTGACACAGTCTCCAGATGCAGTTTCGTATGTCTGTCAAAGTTATCCTTTTCGGTCGTTATATAAACGCAAGTTGTACACTCATATATGTTATTGCTATTTGACGTCGTAAATTCTGGGTGAATTTTTGCTACATGATCATCCACAGTGACTTTACTGTCAAATGTTGCATTGCAATGAATGCAAGTAATCGTGTACCTATGCTTTGAAGGATTCTCTGGATGTGTTAAAATATTTTCTTCAAATTCGCCTCCCACCCTAGAAAAAAAAAATTTCTGCAGAACAATTTTTGGGAACATATGAACAAAATGGATTTGTCATAAATTTGCGTTTACTCTCAAAGTTAGTATGTTACTAAAAACCAAAAGTTTTTTTACACCATATCTGTGACTACAGGAACGATTATAGTGTAAAGCATCTCAATTAAGGTCATTTAATAAGTTGAGGCTTTCATATTACTGTGTTACCATTCAGTCTCGTACCGTTTCTGACATTGTTTCACCTAATCACGTTATTCCCTTAATCAGTCAATCTACTTGACGTCATTTATTGTAGCATGTTGGAGTGTTTCACTCTCCCGCATAAACCACATTTCGCAGACAATCGCGAAATGTATCCTAATCCGCCAAATATTGTTATTCTGTGAATGAGTCAACCTACTTGACGTCACTTTAATATTGTACGGTGAGGTGTTTCACTCTTCTGCATGGCCCACACTTCGCAGACGCAGACGAAATGTATCCTAGTCTGCCCAATATCGTGATTCCATAACGAGTCAACCTACTTGACGTGATTTCGATATTGCATAATTGGAAGTTTCACTCTCCTGCATGGATCACATTTCGCAGTCGCTCACGAAATGTATCTTAATTCGCCCAATCACGTTATTCCTAGAGTGAGTCAAACTACTTGACGTCATTTTAATCTTGCATGGTGGGGTGTATCACGCTCGTGAGCGCACCACATTTCACAGATGCTCACGAAGTGTATCTGGTAATTATTAAAACTACTAAAACGGACAAGAACTATTTCTCCCCATATACGGACCTCACTTTGTCGTGGTCCTCAGTTTGTAACTTTTACATGTGGTGTCCTCACATTGTAAGGTGGGCAAAATATATATATACAGGGTGTCCCAGAAGTCGACGTCAAGCCGAAACCGGGTGATAGGCAAAGTCATAACAGCTATCAGAAAAATATTTAAAAAAATTTTATGTATGTGTTTTGAAAATTATAGGTCTTTGAAAAAGATATAGAAATTTCACACCCTACGGCAGTCTGTCAACTCCTGTTACTACAAATATTAACTTTTTTTGGATTTTATTTTTACAATGTAATGATGCATAATGCATCTTCAAACTGGTGTCTCAACCTTACTACCAACTTTTCTCGTTCAGGAAAAATTGCCACTTATTTCCCAACCAAGTATTCCAAAGTAAAACTTTGCTCAACTTTAACTGGCTGTTCTGAAAAAAATGTACTACGAGAGTTTGGCAAGTAACCTTAAAAGTTGGCGCATTTAATAACGATTCCAAAATGGTATAACACTTAGAAGATTACTCGTTAACTTATGCACAATTTTTATTTGAAAAAAAAACTGATGAAAATTTTTCAAAATTTCCTAATTAAACAGCGATTATGAAAACGCACAAGGACCCTTAAGGATAACTGTTTGCACAACAGTGGGCGTTAAAATGCTACTGATGATGATTTACCTTTACAGCAAATGCTCAAACTGTTTTCCTTCAGCCGCAATACACGCTCGACATCTTCTTAAAAAAGATCGGGTTATTAAACGAGCGAATCCACGGTTATTAACAAACTCAGCTGCTTCCAATAGTCTTTGCCGTAGCTCAGCTACATTTTGAATCGGCTTGAAATACACTTTTTCTTTTACAGTTCCCCAGTAAAAAAATCTAAAGGATTCAAATCAGGTGATCGGGGTGGCCACGGTATTGTAACAGACCGCCTTATCCATCTGCCTGGAAAGTTTTGATCGAGATACTCTCTCACTGAGAGTGCATAGTGCGTTGGGCAGCCATCATGCTGAAACCTCATGTCCCTGTAAATACTCAGTGGCACGTCCACCAATAAATTTTGTACATGATTTTTCAAAAAATCCAAATAAACTTCAGCAGTCAAAGTCTCTGGGAACTCAAACGGACCGATTATTTTATCATTTAAAATTCCTGTCCAATGGTTTATCTTGAAGCGATATTGAGATTTATCTTCTCTCATCAAATGTGGGTTTGCTACGTGCCACTCGTGTAAGTTATGCAGGTTTATGTACCCATCTTTCTTAAATGTGGTCTCATCCGACCATAAAATTTTTTTTGTCTTTGTAACATTGTGCGACAAAAAGCAACTCGGGGCTCATAATCCCGGGGCAGGAGAGGTTGAACACGCTGTATGTGGTATGGATGAAGCACATCACTTACTTGCTATTGCACACTTTGATACCGATCAGTACTCCTTCGTTTACTGCGCATCTTTACATGTTCGTGCTTGTTGATTTCGTACTGTTACTAATTTTGGATTCGTGAACTGGACTGTTGATCGCTTGTGATTTGGATTTGGACTGTTTAATTGCTCTTCAAAACAACATTTGCTTTCCTTAGACTATCTTTGATAGTGTGATTGTGCAGTGCCGCTATGTCCGTGTACACCGTACAAGAATATGCTAACATGCACCTCATTTATGGGGAATGCAGATGCAACGCTAGTGCTGCGGCGAGACTTTACTGTGAGAGGTACCCGAATGCAGCTCGTCATCCAGATCGTCGAGTGTTCACAAATGTGCACCGCTTACTGTTCTCAGAGGGCCAACTACCAAACCAATCACACGGTGAGGGAAGATCTTTCCTTCCTTACGAAGACGTGGTGCTAGGAGCTGTCGAAGAAGACCCGAGTACTTCAGTGCGTGCAATAGAACTAAAAACAGGTGTGCCCAAAAGTATAGCCCATAGAATCTTGCAAAAAAACGTGCTCCATCCATACCACGTACAGCGTGTTCAAACTCTTCTGCCCCGGGATTATGAGCCCCAAGTTGCTTTTTGTCGCACAATGTTAGAAAGACACAGGGAAGATCCACGGTTCTTTGAAAAAATTTTATGGTCAGATGAGACCACATGAACCTGCATAACTTACACGAGTGGCACGTAGCAAATCTCAGTATCGCTTCAAGATAAACCATTGGACAGGAATTTTAAATGGTAAAATAATCGGTCCGTTTGAGATCCCAGAGACTGCCGAGGTTTATTTAGGTTTTTTGCAAAATAATTAAGAAAATTTATTGGAGGACGTGCCACTGAGTATTTACAGGGACATGTGGTTTCAGCATGATGGCTGCCCAGCGCACTATGCACTCTCAGTGAGAGAGTATCTCGATCAAACTTTCCAGGCAGATGGATAGGGCGGTCTGGTACAATACCGTGGCCAGCCTGGTCACCAGATTTGAATCCGTTAGATTTTTTTTACTGGGGAACTGTAAAAGAAAAAGTGTATTTCAAGCCGATTCAAAATGTAGCTGAGCTACGGCAAAGACTATTGGAAGCAGCTGAGTTTGTTAATAACCGTGGATTCGCTCGTTTAATAACCCGATGTTTTTTAAGAAGATGTCGAGCGTGTATTGCGGCTGAATTAAAACAGTTTGAGCATTTGCTGTAAAGGTAAATCATCAGCAGCATTTTGACGCCCACTGTTGTGCAAACAGTTATCCTTAAGGGTCCTTGTGCGTTTTCATAATCGCTGTTTAATTAGGAAATTTTGAAAAATTTTCATCTGTTTTTTTTCAAATAAAAATTGTGCATAAGTTAACGAGTAATCTTCTAAGTGTTATACCATTTTGGAATCGTTATTAAATGCGCCAACTTTTAAGGTTACTTGCCAAACTCTCGTAGTACATTTTTTTCCAGTACAGCCAGTTAAAGTTGAGCAAAGTTTTACTTTGGAATACTTGGTTGGGAAATAAGTGGCAATTTTTCCTGAACGAGAAAAGTTGGCAGCAAGGTTAAGACACCAGTTTGAAGATGCATTATTCATCATTACATTGTAAAAATAAAATCCAAAAAAAGTTAATATTTGTAGTAACAGCAGTTGACAGACTGCCGTAGGGTGTGAAATTTCTATATTTTTTTCAAAGACCTATAATTTTCAAAACACATATATAAAATTTTTTTAAATATTTTTCTGATAGCTGTTATGACTTTGCCTATCACCCGGTTTCGGCTTGACGTCGACTTCTGGGACACCCTGTATATGAGAGTATGTTGGTACCGAAACCACTCTTTCAGATAGAGCAGATAGCCGAAAATTTTTCCTGTGTCGTTCATCAGGGACTACGTCATTCTTGTTTACAAGAAAGGTATGCTGAATAAATCTGCTGATTCTATGGAAAATTCCCAATTAGCGTAGATTATCGCGAACACTTACCTTCTCAGAATAGAATCATTTATTTCTAGCTTCAGCTCAGGGGCACTTAGATTACCTACACCACAGACATCCCAGTCGTTCTCTTCATTTTTGACACTAAAATAAAGAGATAATTAAATCAATAATGGTTTTGAAATTGAAAACTCCAATGCAAGGACCGCAAGGTAAGTTTAACTTTTTTGAATAAATTGCTTTATCTGCCTGTTTATGAATAGTTTGATTCATCATCAAACAAAAAACTATGGTATCAGGTTTTTATCAAAGCGCTTTTATATCCTGAGACATGTAATGGTAAAGTGTAGAGCAAGAGATCAATAATGGCCTTTACAATTGAGGTATGTATAATTTTTTCACAGCTAACACGTTATATCTCAGACTGAGAACTGCAAATAATCAGATTTCGGCGGTTTAAGATAATCAAAATGAGTAGTTTGGAATTTATAGAATACATCCTTTAAAAGAATCCAGATATTGTCGATTTTTTGGGTTCACAGTGAAAAAAGAAGCAGTACTCAACTTTTCTCAAAGCTGATGCTCTGCATACTGGTTATTAGTAAATAAAATTACCTCTCAAAAACTGTTGTAGGTGCCACATCCATGTATTTGTCACCCTTATCATGAATGATTGGGTGTTTTTCAGTTTCCATTTCTGATTCCTCCCGCTCATCAACTTCTACCTTCAGGAATGTCTTGCTGTTCATATCACATTCCATTTCATTGGTCTCTCTTTCTCTTTTTATACTACGGTAAAAGAATTCTGTATGATCCACAAAGCCCACTTGGATTTCATTCCAAATTTATACAAATTAGATAAAATAAGCGACGAACCACTTCAAAAATTATTTATTGAGATGTTGTAGGTTGTACAGCATAGTATAGAGTAATCTTATCTCTAACAATATGCGTATTTATAATAAATCGGTTATCTTGAAGGAATTTGTTATGATGAGAAAGTACAAAAGAATATTTACTCATCAATATTAGAAAGTATACACAGATATCATTGACATCATAATTAACAAGAATTCATAAGAAATGTAAATACCGGGAATATACAGGAATAATAGGTGTATGTTTACCAAATATGCGAGGGTGATACCATAATTCCTCCCTTAAACCAAAAAGTTGGTCTCCAACTTTGTAAAGTGTAAGATTTACAATCATTGTTTAATATTCTGAAGTGGAATTGAGGATTCATAGTTTACATTAATTTCCGTATCTAAAACATATCGATATTCTACATAAAGTATGGTAAATATAAGAAGTAAAACGATAACAATTGTATAAATAATCGAGGAACCATAAGCATGATAATGTAGGATTTCTAATTTGTTGTGGATAAGTTCTAAGTTTGATTTAAATAAGATGTCATGTTAATTTGTTTTTTTTAGTAGGGAAAGTAAAATTATGAACTCGAGTGGGTATTTCTACTTCAATGGAATAGTTATCATCAAACCTAAAAATTTGATCATTAACAAGTGTGTCACAGAAAATATAATAATAAATATAATTGAGTGAGAACATTGATTTAAGTCTTGATTAGTGTCTAAAACATAATTGTTTGTCTTCAAGGGTTCTGGTGTACTCATGTAAAGTACAAGTAAAGAACAAGATTTAATGGTATCAATCTGACATTGTGAGTCTATAATGGAAGTGCAAAGCTTGGCTTTATTGTTTAGAGATATATTCTTTACAAAAGTATGTATTCTGAATCAAATTTGATAGTAAGTGGGTAATGTAACAAGATGTTTGTCATAGGTTAAAAGAGACGTATTCTTTGTTATCTAGTATAGGCACGTGTACAACAAATATTAATTCATATTTCAAAGAGATAATAGAGGTTTTATATAGATCTAAGATTTCGTATAAATGCCAGGCATCAAAAGGTAGTAATTGTTTGTATACGGAGTTTTACATGTGGTTAATTAATAATTGAGTTTCTGGTGAGAAAGTTGCAATGTTGTTAAACCAATGTTTGCACCCAAATTAGTGAGCAATAATAATTTAGATAGGTAAGAGGAGTGTTTCTGGATCATAGTGATTTCCTGAGATTGTGGTGTGAACGCCATTTGTTTAACCTCCAGATTCTGGGATATTAGGAGCCGAACACCAGTTTGTGGAGTAGTACCCCTTCATATTGTACCTTACATTCAGTTGTTTTGGCTTGAGTGCTACCCTGTCCATTTTGTTATGGGGTTTTAATCTTCAGCGTGGAAAGGCATTGCGGAGAAACACACACTCCTCCAGCTTTATTTGTAGCTGGTATTGCCGGAAGCCCCTTAGCAAAAAAACCTTGATGTGAACAGGTTTTTTTTATGGTTATACCGTAAATTTTAGAGAATGAGGCAAGCAACCTTGTGACGTGCTCACCACTGGCCACCGTGTTTTTTCTTCTTGACCTGAGCACTTGCGAGCTAAGGACATCTCGGCTGCGCCTAGCCGTAACTAGGAGAAGACCTCAACCCAGAAGTTTAAAACCCTTTTTTAACTTGTACTCCAGTGGTGGAGCATTTGTGCTGTTTGCTAGGGTAATATATTGTGAATTTTTTCTAATGCCTTGATTTATCTGGCTCTCGGTGTATAATTAATTAGGTTACGTCATTGTCAACAAGTTCCGATTATCACCTCGGGGACTTGCGGCTTGATCCGACCTAAGTTACTGGTGCTCTTAACCCCTCTATTGTCCGCTTTATTGAGCTAGGGCCTAAATGTGCACGCCACTATACAGGGTGTCCGCAAAGTTGGGGTTTTCCTTTACACGACGTGTAGATCTTGAAAACATAAGCAATTTTTCTTAGTACCATATACACCAATGTCTTAAGGGAACCGAGATAAAGGGCTCTGCAACATCAAAAATATCTTAATACCGTCCTGTAGCCGCGACATCCCCAAGTGGTACTAGGACACTAGCTCAACCCGACGACAGAACTGGGTCTGGTCAGTGTGTCAGGTCAGTATGCAACCTTCAACCGACGGTTAAGGTCACGCGTGTAGAGGTAAACGAACCCGTATAAACGATTGCGTTTCAAAAAACAACAAGCACTAGAGACGTGGCTAGAGAAGTGCAAGTATCAAAAACTAAAGTGTGGCAAGCGCTGCGTGAAGAGGGGCTGTATCCGTTTCACGTCCAACGTGTACAAGTCCTTCAACCTGACGATTTTTCAGCAAGAGTGTGGTTTTGTGAGTGGTTGTTGCATCAACATGACAATAATCCGGACTTTTTGAAGTGCATATTGGTGACAGACGAATCTACGTTCACGCGTAATGGGGTGAATAACTTTCGCAACACTCATCTTTGGTCAATAGAAAATCCGCACACCGTCCGTCGGGCACATTTTCAACAAACATTTTCGGTGAATGTTTGGGCTGGCATGGTGAACGGTATGCTCATTGGACCATTTATTCTCCCAAATCGATTGGACGGGATGCAATACCTAGACTTATTACGCAACATTTTGCCTTTCTTGTTTGCCTGCGTCTGCTCGGTAGCGCATCAGCTGATTTAATTTTCTGTTGGAGCGGTATGATTTCGGGCAGAGACGTACTTAGCCCTTCTCGTCAACTGGAGAGTGAGTACTTTTTCCTTTATTTTTTTTTTTACTTGGTCGCCCTCGTTTCACTATACATTACCTTTGTTATTTCAAGGGTAGTTGTTTCTGAAAAGGAAAACCCCAACTTTGCGGACACCCTGTATAGCTGTTTTGTATTGACTAGCCCTTAGACTTCATTAATGGTGTTTTATTTATTAGTTCATTAATTTAAAAAAAAGGAAAGAGGAATCACACCATCATTCCCTCTTAATTATAAAAAAAAGGCGTGGCAATCATCGAAATATACAAAACAGAATTTACCAATATAAGGAAGTAACACAGAATTAATCACGCATTGGAAAGTTGCAGGGGCGTTTGTCAAACCAAAACGCATACGAACATATTTGTAATGGCCATTTTCAACGGTGAAAGCAGTTTTTCTATCGAATTTGGATGCATGGGTATTTGATGAAAGCCTTAGGCAAGATCTAAGGTGGATAACTATTTTACCTTTCCCTGGGTTTTTAAGAATTTCTTCGGTACGCGGTAATGGATAGTTGTCCTCAATCGTGATTTCGTTGAGTTTTCGGTAATCGATAACCATTCTATATTTCTTTTGGCCTGATGCGTCGGCCTTCTTTGGGACTATCCACACCGCAAATGAGTATGGACTAGTACTGGGGTCTAATGACGTCATCGTCAAGCAATTTTGTAATTTGGTTTTGAATTACTTGTTTCAAATGAAAAGGATATCAGAAAGACATTGTCGTCATGGTTATTTGTAATGGTATGAAAAGTGGCGATACGTGGTTTTAGTTTCTCAGTAGGCTTCAAAAAAGCGAAATTCATATGTCCGGTTCGGATTAATTTGGACATGCTGACTGTACTATGTTCAGATGTCGGAATTTGTATATCGTACTAATCAAGTGACTCACAATTTATCTCGGTATTATTGAGGTCAAGTGCCATGGTATCTTCAGGAAAATCTATCTCGTAGTTGTTTACTGAGCAAATCATTTCATTTTCCACTTTGCATAAAGCGATAAACGATCTTGGACTTCGTTAGGTTTTCATTCTGGATTTTTACCGGTATGACAAATAAAATTAAAATTAACAATTTTAATAATGTTAGTTGTGCCTATGATTCCCTTTAGATGTTTTAGCTATTCATAGCCTAGAGACACTCGTACTTGTGCCAATACTTAATAGAAACTCTACTTCATATTGTATTCCATATTCGTAAAACAAAGGGATTTTACAAGCATACTGTCACTTTTATATTTGTTTGCAATTGTTAATTTCAAAAGATTTAGAAAAGATATAGTCGGCGAGAATTTGGAATGCAAGATCTTCGTTCATAAGTGAGGAAGAAGCTCCTGTATCTGCGAGTATCGGTAGGCCTAAATAAGTATTGTACAAATACGGAAGGTGGGTATCTTGATAATTATACTATGTGACATATAAATCCGAACACCCAGTTTAAATGGTTTTATTTTAATAGAAGTTGGTGAATGTATTTATCTTACTGTAAATAACAAGTGAAAAAATTTTCAGCCTTATCAGTTGGACATTCCGGTTTTTATACTGCTTTTTTTTAATTCACTAACGCTCTAAAAATGAATATTTCAGCCGCAGTAAAGAATCAACGTTGGCGGATTTTCGTTCTTGACATCCTACGATCGGTTACGATGCCTAGAGTACGGAGACCTGTACGATTTCGTCAACTTAGTGAGTTTGATAGGGGCCGTATAGTGGGACTTCGGGAAGCTGGACTTTCTTTTCGGGCAATTGCAGTTAGAGTGCAAAGAAGTGTAGACACTGTGGTTAGGTGTTGTCAGGCATGGCTTCGAGAAGGCCGTACGCAAAGAGCAAGGGGCACTGGACGCCGCCGTAGAACAACAAACCGTGAAGATCGCCGCCTAAGATTATTGGCCTTACGGGACAGTTTCTCCACTACAAGGTCCATTGCAAATGAATGGTTTGCAGAACACGGAAGACCTATTGGCATGCGAAGTGTTTACCGACGAATGAGAAGTTTTGGCTTGTTTTCATACCGGCCACACTGGGTCCTCCCTTTAACTCGAGAACACCGACGTAATCGCCTTGAGTGGTGCAGACAACGGCCATTCTGGGATCAGGAATGGAACAGTATTGTCTTTAGCGACGAGTCTCGATTTTGTTTAGGCATGCACGATGGTCGTGCCAGGGTTAGAAGGCGACGTAGTGAAAGGAGGAATCCACAGTTTCTTGTTGAAAGACATGTTCATCACACTGTTGGAGTTATGGTTTGGGGTGCTATAGCTTATGGTTCCAGGTCACCTTTAATCTTCATCAGAGGTAACATGAACGCGCAGCGTTATATCCACGAAGTTCTAGAACCCCATCTTTTACCCTATCTTGACACCCTGGCAGATCCAACTTTCCAACAAGATAATGCCCGACCACATGTTGCAAGAGTCACAATAGACTTCTTTCAACATAATGATGTCACATTGTTACCATGGCCACCAAGATCTCCCGACTTATCCCCAATTGAGCACGTGTGGGATATGATGGGTAGGAGATTGCTCAATTTGCAACGTCCTTCTCAGACTCTAGAAGCACTTCGAGAGGAGTTGGTGGTTGCCTGGAATGAGATACCACAGGAGGACATTGACCACCTGATCAGAAGCATGCCTAGGCGCGTTGGAGAATGCGTAGCACATCAGGGTGCATCCACACATTATTAAAGGTCAAAGGGCTTTAAAGCAGTTCAATAATTTTGAAATTTTTATCATTTACTTATTATGCTTCATTAAGTACTTATACAAAATTTTATTAAAATAAAACCATTTAAACTGGGTGTTCGGATTTATATGTCACTTAGTATATTAAAGTCTATGTTGATTCGGAGTTGTTCTGGGTTGGATGAAAATTTTCTATTTTTTCTGGTTTTCCAAATATTCAAAGCAATCATAATTTTGATATTGATCATGATATTCCTCTTGAAAATCGTCATAATTTTCTTGATGGTAGGATGAATCTAAAGTTGATTCATTGTTAGTAAGTTCTTCGGAAACAGAATTACGTGTAATTTAATTTAGGTTTTTCGGGCTGTTGAGCCGTGGTCGGGTTGGATTTGGTCCATAGGTTTCGGCTAGCGGTAGCCATCTTCAGTGGCGCTGTCGGCGAGAGCGGGTCGACTGAAACTCATCAGTTAATTACGTGTTTGACCATTATTGTTGAACAAGTCTTTTGAATAATCCTTGTGTCGAGTAGATCGACTGTAATCTCGCATACAGTTTGAATCAAAGTTTATGTGGCAAACACGGCGCCATTTTTATTACAGCATCATCTAACATTTTTGTACTTCCGAGTGCCGCCGCATCATACTGACAACAAGAATTAAGCTGTTTGTATTCTAGGACCAACAAATAACAACACTGGTTAGTGAATATAGTTTTATTATACTTTCTTATACATATATACATTTTAGGGTCGTACAAGGATGATAGTGTATAATGTTATTGTTATGATTGCAAAATAAACATTCCCTAGCTTATATGGAATATCATTTATTTGCTCGGCTCCAGAATCTCTATGCAGTCATTATTTACAAATACAAACATCAACGGCACTGCCAGATAAGACAAATAAAAAGTTAATACAAAGTGCACTTTCTCTCTTTGAATCTTCCAATATCAGTAACTCCGTTAGGATTCTGGACGTACCTATTATTTTCTTTACTCACTTCAATGTTTGACTGCAGCAACGCTTGAATAGAAACTCCGCGAACTTTCCTTCACTGAAATGTTCATTATCTTTGGTGAAACTTCTATATTCAGGTCTTGTCGAGACATGTATATTCAAATCAGCCTCCAAAATAGTTTTGTAACTACACTTTTTGCACTCATATAACTTACTAGTAACTAAATCGATAGAATCAGGATGAAACTTGAGTATATGACCATCAAAGGCTAAATAACACAGTTTGGTGTGTTTGGAATCATAAGCCTAAGACAAGAAGGCCGGCACCCCTATATATACATAGGAAGACCAGTGGCAAACGATGAAGAAGGGAGAGAAGATCCCAGCCGACAAGCCGGCAAAACTCACCAGGACCGGCATTAAGGTCCAACTGACGACTGAGGAGGAATTCCGAAGCGTAAAGAAGACGCTCGAGGAGAACAAGGTGGAACACCACACCTACTCCATGCCAGACGAAAAATCCCTGTCAGTAATCATCAGGGGCATGCCACTGATGACGGGGGAGGATGAAATCAAAGAGGACCTGGAATCTAAAGGATTCCACCCAAGAAGGGTAAATAGACTAACCAGCAGGCGAACCAGGAAGAAGATCCCGCTGGTCAAAGTGGATCTTCCAAAAGAAGAGAAGAAGATATACGATCTGACAGAATGCTGTCAGATGATCGTAAAGATAGAAGCACAGAGGAAGAGAGAAGGTCCGGGCCAGTGCTACAGGTGCCAGTAGTTCGGGCACATCGCGCATCAGAGTGCAAAGTGCCACAAGAAAAAGCGGCAACCTGCGCCATCTGTGGTGGGAGCCACCCAGCGAACTACGGGGGATGCCCAAGACGCCCAAGCTCAAAACCAAAGAGCAAACCCGCCGCGGAGAAGAAGGAAATATCACGAAGCCAGCCCCAGTAAGACCTGGACAGAGCTACGCAAGGGCTGCAAGAAGCGAGGAGACGGCACCCCGAAGGCAGGAAAGACCCTCCACAGACCGGGAAGAAGAAGATGGGGATGAACTAAAGAGGTTCATAGAAACCCACATGGCCCAAATGAAGAGGCTCATCATGAATACCCCCGATGCCAATACATACAAATTTCATGTTCCAAATTAACGAGAATATTAAATTCACAAAGAAATACGATAACGTTTTGAAAACTATCAATTTGGATCATTGCAATGAAGAGAGAGTAGAACTATTAGAAAATTGATTTTTGAATATAGAGATACTTTTTATTGCGAACAAATTCCTCTCAGTTTTACGAATGAAATCAAACATAAGATTAGGTTGACAGATGACACACCTATTTATACTAAATCGTACAGATTTCCAGAAATACATAAACCGGAAGTAAGCGAACAGATCAATCAGATGCTGAAATAAGGTATCATTAGACATTCAAATTCACCCTATAGCAGCCCCATCTGGGTATTAATAAAAAAATGGATCAATCTGGTAAACAGAAGTGGAGAATTGTAATAGACGATAGAAAATTAAATGAGCATACAATAGTTGATAAATTTCCCATACCCAATATTACAGATATTTTAGACAAACTTCTTAGATCAAATTATTTTACAACTGTTGACCTTGCATCTGGATATTATCAAATTCAAATGGACGAAATTGATATTCCTAAAACAGCTTTTTCTGCTATGAATGGTCACTTCGAATTCTTAAGAATGCCTCAAGGTTTAAAAAATAGTCCAACCACCTTTATCATTTATCTTGATGACATAATAATTTTTAGTTAGATGAAAAAGAGGAAGAGGGCGATAGACCCTATATCAGGCAGTTGGGGGATGCTGGTCGGCTTTTGGCAGATTTGTTTCACCAAGAAACTGTTTCACGTAGAGAGCTTGCCGTCCTCAATATCAATAAGGATTTAAGAGATATTTTATTAGATTCCCCAGTTGATGACTGGTTATTTGGAAGAGACCTTGAAGATAGAGTTAAGCAGTCTAAGTCTTTGGTTCAAATAAGTAAAGAATTGCGGGACCACAAACAACCATCCAGCTCCACTGCTCGGGCTTTAAACTCCCAGAGCCTCCCTCGATCATCGCAACTAGAGATGATCGATATATCGGTACCGACGACCTTTCCCGGTGACTTGAATGGTCGCCGTTAGTCCGGGCGACCTGATTCTCCATGAAGCAGCGACCCAGATCGCTGTTTGGAAGTATCGGTATCGGTAACCACTGATCGGTAGCTGACGCTGTTTCGATCGCGGTCGCTGCCAGGAAGCATATACACATCGCGTTTACTACCCCGTAATGAAGATCCTTGTAAGTGGTGGAGAGATTATAACCACTACTACCCAGTTTTAAGTGAGGTGGTCCGTGAAAAATGTTGTGCTCTAGCTACCTCAGTGCCGTGCGAGAGGTTATTTTCGAAGGCAGGTTTGATCATCAGCGAAAGACGGAGTCGATTAAAAGCACATGAAGCTCGAATGTTGGTTTTTTTAAACGCTAATGCGAACTTCGCAAAAAATTACGTTAGCAAAGGTTATGATTATCAGAAAATCATTATTGTTGTTGTGGCCGACTTGTTTTACTTTGTAGTTTTTAGACGTGGCAACAATGTAAGTTGAGTATTCAGCATTCGCATATCTAACCGCCGACGTTTATGTACGTGCTCTGGGAAAAATACAAAGCTTGTGAACAAAATCGTGTATTAAATCCCAAAACCTCAAACAAAAACCAAACAATTGTCATGTATTATATTTGTTATGTTTTAAAACTTCTATTTCAACTCGTAGAATAATCTCATGTGTTGTTTTACTTTTTCTGAACCATACAAAAATACTTAATTTACTTATTTAGCAATGATTATAATCACGATTTTTTTTATATTTTATTTGTTATGTTTCAATGCTTTTATTTTGACGGGTAGAATAATCTTATGTTTCGTATAATTTTTCCTGTTTCATAGAAAAATGTTTCATTTATTAAGCAATGTTTAACATATAAAAGAAGCATTTTTAGACTACATTTGTTATGTTTTAAAAGTTTTATTTTGACTGGTAAAATAGTATTTTGTTTTACTTTTTAAGATTCATAGAAAGATATTTTATGTATTTTTATGATTTTGTATTTTGTGCTCAATATTGTTAAAAACAAAAACCTTAAATATAGTTTAATTCAAATCCGCTGGAACCTGAACACCTACACCTCGTTAATATCAATGGATAACCGCCGCCAAATATTGAGTAATTTAATCAGCGTCAGGGAGTCGCTGGCTGGTGGCAGCGACCATAGCCAGGCAGTGACCTAAAGCGCTGCTAAATCTACCGGCGACTTTAAGGTCGCTGTCACCGGTATCCCGGCGACTTGCAAGTCGCTGCTAAGATCATCTCTAATCGCAACGAGGTCTACGAATGGGCCGCTTCAACAGCATTACCGGACCAGTTATGGAGGAAAACAGCAGTTCCGACGAGTTCAAGAAAAGAAGCCAGTACGGCTGGACCAACAAGGGCAGAGAGGGAGATATCGCCGATGAATACTGAGGTTGGTGAAACAGCTGGCAGATTAAAATTATTTTATGCAAACTGGTGCAAAATAACGTCTGACAAGCATGTCTTGTCATGGATTAAGAAGCCTCGTCCGTCTCACATACCGAAGGAACCTAAATGTTCTCCGACAGAACTGGGTGAGATTGAAAATAATATTAAAAAATGTTTGTCCACCGGGGCCTTGAAGAAAGTGCGCCCTCTTAAGGATCAGTTTTTATCTAATATTTTTGTAACTCCTAAACCTGACGGTAGTCAAAGACTTATTCTCAACCTCAAATCGTTAAATGATTACATTTCAGTTAGTCATTTTAAATTAGAAGAGCATAAAACAGTGAGTAAGATAATTGGGCGTGGTAACTTCATGTCTTCACCGGATCTGAAGGATGCTTACCTGTTAGTCCCTATAGCCAAGTCATACAGGAAATATCTTCGATTTAAGTTTAAAGGCACAATTTTTGAATATACCTGTATGCCATTTGGGCTCAATTGTGCTCCATATATTTTCACCAAATTAATGAAACCCGTGGTGAATTATTTAAGGGAAAGAGGTTTCCTCTCCGTTTTGTACTTAGATGATTTCCTTTTGCTGGGCCAGACAGCTTTGGATTGCACTCGGCAAACAATTGAGTTGTTGGAAAATTTAGGCTTTTTAATAAATTATACTAAGAGTAAACTTCTTCCCAAGCAGGTATGCAAGTATTTGGGTTTCGTTTACAACTCGGTTGATATGACCGTTTCTCTGCCTAAAACTAATAAGGAGAGAATTTCTAGATTGGCATATAAGTTTTCCAAATTAAGACGTTGTAAAATTAAAGATTTCGCTTGTTTTATTGGTACGTTCACTTCAGCCTGCCCTGCCGTAAAATACGGTTGGCTTTATACGAAGATGTTTGAGAGAGAAAAATGTTTAGCTCTCAAGAAATCTAATGGTGATTTTAATTCTTATATGATTATTCCAGATTATTTAACTGGAGACTTTGGGTGGTGGATTCATAATATTAGTAGTTCCTTTAATTACATTTCGGTAAACAATTTTCAGTTAAAAATCTTCTCTGATGCATCCACCACTGGTTGGGGTATTTTTTTCAGGACAAGGCGTCTCACGGATTTTGGAATAGTATAGAAAGAGATCAACGTATTAATTATCTTGAGCTGCTTGTGTTTCCGCGTGTTACGAACAATTTGCCCGACGTGGCAACTGTGGAGAGAGTTGAGAGAACTAGAACATACAGTCCACACGTTTTATTTCTAAGAGCACAAAACTGTCTCTAAAATTGTTAAATGTAGTGTTAAATACCCATTGTAAGTTGTGAAACGTCTAGTATCAGACTACAACATTGTACAAGAAGAATAAACCCGACTCACCACTGGAAAAGGAACAAATAGCTGTTATTTCACCCCCAAGGCCAACTACCTCTCTCAACAGCTTGCATCAGGGTTCCCAGTAGAGATACGTTCCGGCACCTCAGTAGTCTGCCTGGCTGACTCAACTCCACTTACAATAAATTTTGGAGTCGAGCACTGATAGCCAGAGCCTAAACCTATATCGAGAGTTGGGTTCACTAGTGAATCATCTCCGAATACACATAAATCTCGAGCTTCTTCGCTTCGACTCGCTCCGTATGCGCTGCTGCCACCACCAATCCGAACGACAGCTTTTGGCCAGGGGGTAGTCCCGAACAGCGCTTATTCATTGCATGCTTCGTCTTGCCCGATACAATCATCCACTCACACGAACGTGAGGCTTTCGGTCGCCTTCCCCTTCTCTCCCTTTTCCATTTTTTTTTTGGGACTCCAAACCCAAAATACCAGTAACAAAATAGATTAGAAATGAAACCTAAACCTAATAGAAGAAAACCCTAACTTAATCAGAAAACAATAAAAGAAAAATCCTAGCTTAGTTACTCAAATCAAACTAAAACATAAATTAAAGAAATACCTACACCCAAATGACCAACTTACACATAATAAAAGAAAAACAAACCTAAACTTAAGCACCAGATTCAAACTTGAACATAATTTAAAAAACCTAACCTATTCCCATAAAATCAAAACTTGAGCAATATTTAAATAAACACCTAATCGAATCTAACAGAAAGAAACTTAACATTCATTTAAAACCTAACCTAAACATGATCCTAAAATTTCCGGCCAAAATCTTATGCGGCATTGGTCCACTGAAAACTTCCCTCCTCGCACATCCCTCACCACTTTTGCGGACCATTCATTCACTAACTGAACTGCTCTGTCATCTTCCTTTCCATTCTCAACTGCGGTCTGAGGTTACCCCAGACACGCATCACTCGCTCCCTCGCATCCTGCCTCTCTTCCAGTCCGCATTCCTCTCTAACGTGCCTTGCGCTCTCATCCCCTCTTCCACACTCGCAGACCATACTCCCTCTCATCAATCCAAACCTATGCAGGTAGGCCGGGAAGTTACCGTGTGTGTTCTATGCTTTTTTCATACTACCTCTTTCAAAACCCCCATTCATTATCCCAATCCACTCGATCTTTCTGCCGTTATTCTCGCGCTCTTCTGTCAGCCATTCTGATAAACGCACACGCCCCTCTATCAATCCATTTTACTTCAACACGCATGCCTTCCACTCTCATCCTTCCATTTAACGCGTTAATCTTCACTCGCATCTTCCCTTTTATTCCATAGCTCCGCAAACTGTCACACGCCACCTGCAGTCGGTGTACACCTCAAGGAAGTCCGCCTGCAGCTCATTCCCAAATTGTATTTCTCTATATACCGCGGAGAACTCCTCCAGCAAGGATGAGGAAACACCTCCTGCTCTTTCAAAGGTTTGGACTCCGACCTGGCCACCCCGCGTCGCCACCATTCCCGTACCCGCCCTATCATCCTACACACTCGCATCCACATAAATCTTCCAACTATCCTCATTCAATTGTCTTCTACTCACCCTGACGCCCCATGCCGGGTGAGGTTTGTCTTCACCCTCACCTTGAAATCCCCATTCAGTCGTTTTTAACCATTCTCCATCTTTCATGCGCTACCATATTCAGAGGTTTCATCCCATTCAGCACTTCTAAGCTTTCTGTCGCCACCGTCCTAATGCGCACAGCCTTTGAACATGAACATACCTCCCATCCATACAGTATCGCACTCTTCAGTACACGCTCATAGATAAGTTATTTTGTAGACCTCCTTTCTTATATCCCACTTTCTCTGTATGACCCCACTTCACCCACTCTCGCTTTCACTTTTTTCACGTGCTCGATCCAATTGCGCTTTCTGTCCACATACATTCCTAGGTATTTCACACCTTCTCCTATCATCACGCGTACCCCTTTCATACAGTTCACCGGTTCCCTAATCTTTTTATCCTGATCCAAAAACATAGCCTCGGTCTTTCCGCCATTTTACAGTTGTCCACATTCTGTCTTCCATCTCAAACATTCCTGCTCTATCCATCTTCTTCCATCTTGCTTCGATCACTTTCACAGACTTTCCTCGCACTATTATCATTTGATCATCTGCATACACCCTATACACACATTTTTCCACCTCCTCTTCTCTCTGCCATGCCTCACTCAGCCTTCGCATTCTCTTTATCCATCCTTCCATCACACATACCCACATGGTTGGCCCCAAGCATGAACCCTGGGGACAGCCACGGCTCACCACTTTTTCCCTACATCCTCCCTTCACCATTCGCCCCCTGAGGAAGCTGCCGCACTCAGAACTTCCATGACCGCTTCGCACCTGACCATATTGAACGCTTTCGATACGGCCAGACCGACGAACATGGAGTGTTTGTCCACCCTGCACCCATCCTCAATCTTCTCTATTACACTTTCAATTGCCTCAGTCGTATCCCTGCCAGTCCTGAATCCGTACTGACAGTCACTCACGCGATCCTTACTTTCAAGCCATCTTTCCAAAGTGGTCAGAAGGCACACGGGTCTGGAAGACCCATCCTCCTTGGGAATCCAAATTACCCTTGTTTCCTTCCTTGCCTCCGGGAACACACTCACTTCCATACACCTATTCATCAACCCGAGTATGTACTCCCCTTGATCCCCCAGGACTTGCGGTAAGACCTCAAAGGGAACTCTATCCTCTCCCAAAGCCTTACCAGTCTCCAAGCCCCGAGCCGAATCCTCCAACTCCCAAGGGGGTGTCTTGAGATCCGGCGCAGTGGCCAAAAGCCTCCCAGGTCCCATCCTCCTCCGGGAAGTACTTCTCTAGGAGCCGTTCGTCCGTCTCCTCAGTATTCCTCGTCCGTCGTCCTTCCTCACTGTACTCGTTCCCTTTTTTCCTTTACATTTCATTAACTTCCATACCGTCTCCCACGCGTTTCCTTCTTGCCTACTCTTCAGTTTTTCTGACATCCATTCAACCTTCCTCTCCTTCACTTCCTTCTTATATCTATTCATTTCATCCACAAATTCTTTTCTTTTCTCTGTGCCATGCTCTTGTTTTATTCCTTACACTCGTCCTAATCCTTTCAGTCCTCTCGCACCACCAGCTAGGTTCCTCCTCTTCGCGTTTCCTAATGTAAGTGCTTTTGGAACCTAGTTGCTTCATAATTCAGCCCCAGGTCATTCTCCCACTCGTTATATTCCTCAATCGCCCTCTTAAATGTATCCCAATCGGTCCTATCAAAATCATACACCTTTTTTACCCTTCGTCTCTGTTCACTCTCCCATTCATACGTAATGTAACGGAGATCGCTTAAACTTTTTTCCTCCTCTCTTACCCTCCACTCCGCCAGATTCAACCCCCTGCCTAATGTCACATCCACCCAACTCTCACACCTACTGCTACTAAAGGTAGCAGCCACTTCCTTTTCATTCCACACATCCAGGCCTTCTGCAACGCACCACTCCAACAGACGTTCTCCTCATTCATCCGTCCACTCTCCCCCCCATGCCCTGTTTTTAGCATTGAGATCCCCTACTAGTAGGAGTTTACCCTCTACTTCCCCAATTTGCAGTATACAGTCCTCGAGCCGCGTCTTCGATCTGCCACCGGGCTAATCATATAAGTTAACCATCGTGATTCCATCAACCAAAACAGCCATGCAATTATTTGTTCTGAACTGACGAAGCTGCATTACTCCCTTTGATTTTCCTTTACCCACGTCCTCAGTTTACATCCATTGTCTCCATTCATCCTCATTCACATAAGTTTCTTGTACAAGAACCCCAAGCAAAATTTGCAATGCATTTTCGTGACTCTGGACACTGTTCACATAATTGACGGCCTACCCGATAGAAAAGTGGATAGCAGATATCGAAGATATGGCAGAAATGATTATCTGGAATGACTTACAAAGTTTTATATTTGCCAGCAGAAAACCACTTGGTCTTGCAAAGATGTTTAAACAGAGTGAACGAGACATTAAGTCTTGGAAATGTTGAAAGCAGCACAAATTTGATCACTGTTCCTGGTAGGTATTGATGTTGCCAAATGGACGTAAGTCAATACCGATATTTTATTTGAACAATCTATTATAAAGCTATTTGCCAAGGAATTTTGATAATCATTACTTATTTCAGACACGGTATGTTTCGAATAGAAATGACAATAAAAATAAAATCGTCAAGATATATTTTAACATGTCAATGTTAGACTTAAATTAGTGTAAATAAGTCGTTTTTAATATCGTTGTGGATATGGTTCTTCACCTTGATTGTTATGTTTAAGCTGAGTGCTCAAAAATATCCCCATTTTTCTTTTGAAGGAACCTTTCATATCTCATCAAACATACGGTGAAATTTGAACATAAGGCAACAGAGGTTCGCTAACGTTTTGTGTAGTCACGGGAAAGCAATCTAAAAAGCCCATTAGACGAGGTTCAATGCTGTCCTATTTATCAAAGACTAGCTTTAACAAGTTAATCAAGATGAGAAAAGTACGACCATCGTCAAGACATGAAGACAACACTACCAAAAGAGATTCAGTATTATTACAATTACCTGCATTACGAATAACTGTCATACATTATACGTTGAACAATTTTGTACTTTTTGCAATATTTTGTATCATAAGCATAGATATAAGTTCAGGGTTAGCTTTAGGTTTTTCCTTGTAAGCAGTTTGTATTTTGTATTGAAGCGTTTTCTTGAAGTTTGTTTTTTACTCAATTTGATTATTATTCAATTCAAAAGCAATACCTGGTATCAAACAGACCTTTTTTGGAATACCAAGTAACAAAGAAATATATGGCTGAACATAATCTTATCAAATAAATCATGTCATGTAAACTTTGATTCGTTCAGCCCATTGTGTTTGGAAAGAGTCCAATCAGCACAAGCTTTTGAAAATGATTTTTTGTACTTCCTGAGAAAGTAGCCAAATGTTTGGTAGTGCCACTGGGTCATCCATATGTTACTAACAATATTTACCATTTAAATTTTTTATGTTGAACTAATTGCTGGTAGAAAAGGTAATCTAAAGTTTACTACTACTACTACTTCATGTTTAATCAAAGCTTCAGTGAGCATTTAAATGCCAAATAAAAAGCTGTAATGAACATCAACTAGTCATCATTCAAGTAATAACAGATGTCCAAAACCTCAGAACAGTCGTCACGATGCCAAGACGATGTAACAAAATGTTAGCCTTAACCAGGCTAATTTTTGTACCTGCCTCTGTCCTAATTTTGTTATAAAAAAAGCTGGACTACACGTAAACTGCCGTTTAACATGATGATGACAGATGACGATTGTTCAAATTAGCTTCCCAAACAGTTTTGTAACTACAAATTTGGCATTCATATACCTTACTAGTAACTAAATTGATAGAATCAGGAAGGTATTCAAGTAAATAACCATCATAGGTTAAATTACCTCTGAATGATACATTGTAACCAGTGCACAGTTTGGGTTCATAACTTCGAACAATATCATCATCATCATCATCATCATCAGACAGTCTTATTAATGGTTTTGTAAGTGCAGTATAAACATTCGTGTATTTTTCTATCAATTGATTTAATAAAGTCAGGATGTTTCCTAAGAATATGATCATCCACTCCTGTTGCACGAGTGAATGTCATGTTACAGTGGACACATATATGTTTCTTAAGATTTGAACTAATATCAGTATGCTTTAACATGTGTGTACAAAGGTCGGTCTTTTTAACAGTTCTATAAGTGCAATGTGAACATTCGCATATCAACCTACCAACAGATTCAATAAAGTTTGGATGTTTTTTAGCTTATGGTCATCTAAAGCAAACGAACAACTCAGCATTGCATTACAGTGAATGCATTTGGATTTCCGGGTCCGGGTCTTTGAAGATGCCGTTGATGATAAACGTTTTGCATAGTATGATCAAACAATATTTTTTCATTTGTAAATACTGCATAAGACTCTGAACACGAACGAATATCCAAACTAGGCTTGGAAGAGAGTGCAATTTCATGTGGCGAATTAAATGACATTCACGATAAGTAGTGTAGGTACAAGTAAAACAACTGCACGATTTTAAGTCAACTTTCTCATACACAGCTTGCTTCCTGGGCAATTTAATTTTTGACGTTCTGAAAAAGAAGCAAAATGTTACCATTATGAATTGAAATATTGAGAAGACAATGAAAGATCTAGCTATATACAGGGTGTAAAGTAAGTATATTATATGCATTTAGTTATAACAATAATTTAGTCATAGGAAGTACTGATTTTTGATGTCTATGAGTTTATATACAGGGTGTAAAGTTAGTAGAGAATTCAACGGAAGTCAGGTGATAGAGCGCCTCAAAACATATCGAATGAACCCCTGAATGTGTGGTCCGAAATTCTATAGTTCAGGAGATATTTGCAACTTTGTGAAATTTCGAAAAAAAAACGGAATAATGAACCTTCAATCGTAGTTACAACTAAATCATTAGGTTTCGGGCCGTGATATTTTTTGAGATGAGCTAAATGGTTAGTTTTAGCAACGGTTATGTCACTTTTTAACAGAGCTAATTAGAAATCAACGCGAAAAATCTCAGTCATTTTTTTGTGAAAAATCTCTTCCATTCCTCAACTTTGGAGGATGGTAAAAAATGAGTTTGTATTTCATTATTCATTTTATTACAAAAACTATTTCAATATTTGTAGAATAAACCCTGAAAAGCAGAAACATATCCCATACTTCAGTGCACACAATACTACGCTCGGAGTACATGCAACCTTACCCTGTTCAAAAAGTACAAGAATTGCTTCCACGCGACTACGCACATCAGGTTGAATTTTGTGAGAATATGTTGAGAAGGTGCAAAGAGGATGAACGTTTTTTCGACAGCATCTTATGAACAGATGAATCCAACTTTAACCGAAATGGAATATTCAACATGCACAAGTTCCATTCATGGAGCGTGAAAAATCCATACGCTATTCGCCGACACAGCTTTCAACGTCAGTTCGGCGTTATTTGATGGGCTGGAGTACTCGACAAAAAATTAATTGGCCCATATTAATTGCCCGCCAGGTCGAATGGTCAGTCATATCTTGCTTTTCTACAAAGCAGTTTGCATGAGCCGCTAGAGGATGTACCTTTGGACGTTCGAAGCCGCATGTATTTTCAATGCGATGGTGCCCCATGTCACTTTGCACGGGATGTACGGCATTACTTGGACAGTGCCTTTCCTGGGCGTTGGATAGGTAGAGGTGGACACATACGATGGCCTCCAAGGTCACCCGATTTAAATCCTCTAGATTTTTTATATGGGGGTTTTATAAGGGGGCAATCTATACCAGTTATAGGGCTACCCTGTATCCTATTAGAGGATAGAATTTGCAACTCAGCACCTTTACGCAGCGCCTGGCAACTGCGAGAATGTAATATGATATTTTAATTTGTTTTATCATTCAAATGAACATTGTAGTTTACATTTTGTATTTCAGTTAGAATCTAGTCTTCACGCCAATCATTACTTGTAATTTCGGAAATAAAATATTTTTTAAAAAGGCTCTTACGCAAACTCGAAATATAAGTTACATCTGAATATACAAATATCAACCAACTGCGTCAGAAAATTGATGAAGCAAAAATAAAAATTATGAAAAACGCGAATTCATTTCAAAGACTAAAGGACAATTTTATTATAAGGTGTATAGAAAATAATGGAGGCCATTTCGAACATGTTCTTTAAAAGTTAGTTGAATTGAATTATCTTCCGCATTTGTAGGTAAATCGCCATAAAGAGCGGCTAAACACAATTGGTTCTGTACTTGTAGGTGGTAAGGGTTCTATTGCGTTTGTTACGTTTATCGCATCACAACAACAAATATGACATGATACACTCATCCTAGCAAGCTAAAATTTTCAGGGTTTATTCTATGTGGATCGAAATAGTTTTTACAATGAAATAAATAATGAAAATACAACCTCAATTTTTTTACCGCCCTCCAAAGTTGAGGGATGAAAGAGTTTTTCACAAAAAAAAAAGAATTTAAGATTTTTTGCGTCGATTTCTAATAAGTTCTGTTAAAAAGTGACATAACCATTTCTAAAACTAATCATTTAGCTCATTTCCGAAAAAAAATCACAGCCCTAAACCTAATGGTTTAGTTATAGTTGCGAGTGAAAGTTCATTATCCATTTTTTTCGAAATTTCACAGAATTGCATAATCTCCTGAACTATAAAATTTTAGATCACACATATAGGGGTTCATTCGATAGGTTTTGACTTCCGTTGATCCAATACTAACTTTACACCCTGTATATATAATATATAGCTTTTAAAATCATTCAGTTTTCAACAAAGAACAACATTAGTAAATGCGTTATTCGTGCTACCATATAGAACATACAGGTTAATATAACACACATTATCCTGTGGTTTTCATGCTGGTAGAACTCTTATCATTTTCTGGTCAAATGAAACCACATAAATATGTATAAATTATTTTTTCTACGTATGAGGTATAAATGAAACATCGTTTTTCATATATCATGCGACACTTACAACCCCTGAATGAATGAATGAATCGAGAAATTAGAGGCATACCGGTCACCCTAAGGAGCCGGCGCATAGGCCGCTTAAACGAGCCTTCATGTCTACATTCCTTAGACCTCTAGCCTTGCCTTTCTAGCGAAGTTGAGTCCAAGCTCCATGACGACCTGGGGGTCCGAAGTAATGGACCCCAGTATAGTCTGCCTGTAGTAGCTCAGACCTTCACAGCGACAAAGAACGTGCGCCGAGATCTCTTCCTCTACTTCGCAGAGGTCACACAAGGGATCCTCAGACACACCCATCACGTGCAGGTGACGCCTTGCCGTGTTATGGCCAGTCAACAGTCCCACCGGCAACCTTAGCTTGGCTCTATCCAAAGATAAGCAGAAATGCCCATCGTTAACGCTGGGCTCTACAATGAGTTGTCTCGAGATACTGCTCCATTTATGAGAGTATTGTCTTGCATCCACTTATCCATTTCCCTCCTAACTCTTTGCGCGGCTACTCCTAAAGCTGGCTCAGGAGCAACGAGCTTGCTGCCTGATCCTGCCTTCGCCAAAGGGTCCGCCGTCTCATAGTCCTTTATCCCAGCAAGCCCCGGCACCCACATTAACGATACCGAATGCCTCGGTGCGAGACAATCCAGAGCCTCCCTGCATTGCAATACAAGGCTCGAAGTAATCTTACATGCGCTTAGTGTTTTCATTGCAGCCTGGCTATCGGAGAACATTGTTATTCTTTTCTTATGCCTTCCCCATCCAAAAAGGGGGATAGACAAGCCAGAATTGCAAAGATTTCCGCCTGGAAAATAATGGTGTATCCGAGATAGCCTAGTCCTAGGCCTTGAGACCCTGGCTCCAGAGACCTCTTCGGTGACCGAGCGGTCCCTGAACCAGACCAGTCTATTCACTCCGGAGAGTCTCAGGCCACAGTCGATGGGCGACTACTCTCGCTTCACCGCGGATCACTTGATCCAACGGTGGGAGATCCAGCAGAGCTCCATCGCACTTAATGCCGCTGTTCGCACTGCGCTTGTACAGCTAATACAGGCCAAACGCCGAATTTTATTGAGTTTGGCCTTAGTTGTCTCAGTTCGAATACAAGGCCATTAAACCAGGGAGCCGTACAAGAGAGATTGACGTACTATCGTCGTGTAGAGCCCTACCGGTAATAAAAAGCGTAAAAATAAAATTCCAAGTAAAACATCTTATCGTATCATATTGCTACCTTTTACAAACTTATTCATCCTATTGAATTTTTCTTTTTATCTAGTAGTACTTGAAAATTGTGATTTAAGTATTATATCTCCATAACGAATAAAGATATTTATCTGCGGTTTTCTGAATTTTATAGGATTTTTTAAGCTCTTTCCGACCAATACTAAAAAAGTTTGCCGTTGTATTTGAAATTTTCGAGATACGTAATTAAAAAACTGTGAGGAGTGACAAGATCGAGCCTTGAATAAAAGCGCATGCAATGCAACCAATATCGTGAAAAATCTGTGCTTAGCCACCCTCAACAAGACAAAATATGGAATGACATTGAGAATAAAGTTCGAAAATAGAGAATTCAACATAATAGTTATTAAATCGGTACGTTAATAACGCATTTTTTCACAATAGTGGCGTTTGAATTTTTGAACGTGAAAATACGCCTCTTAGCGACCATTTTAGGAAGCTGAAAATATATTATAGTCGGCATCCTTTATTGTTGTTGGGTCACTCGGTACAAGCGCGTCGAATAGTTATTTCAATACATAAAATGGCGGCGGCGTAGCCGATCACGAAGCAATTATGTAGAAGTCGAATAATGTTATCATATGCTATGATGGTATATATCTCGAGTGCAAGCATGCATAAAAATGAATACACCAACAAAATGGTGCATCAACAACTTACCTATTTGGAACTACATCGGAAGCTACATCCATTCTGGTTTCACTATCCTCATCCTTAATAATAAATTCTTCTGTAATTTCCGAAATCTTGAAGGCTTCACTATACATATCCATTTCTGATTTTACCTTACTAGGATTAATCATGAATTCTTCATTACTTGCCGCAAGATCATCAAATTTATCTCCTTCACTAGATTCAGCTTTCATCCTGAAGCAATGGAAAACATGGCGTCGGGTAGATTGAAACTTCTCATACCTTCGCTACGACTTCTGATACAGAATCCGATGTTTTTCAACAAAAAAATTAAAAATCTCAAACAGATGAGTAGCTCAAATCTATTCAAAAGACTGAACTTGAAATTTTGATATGTTTACATAAATATGATATAAACCTCTATAATATCTCAAACTATAACAAATAAATATTTCTGTTGCATTTGAAACTCATTCTGTGAGTTTCATATTTCTAACTCCCCATGTTTATCTGGCCAATCAAACCACATATGTGTAAAATTCTTCTTTATTATAGTACGACGTTTCGAACCTAACGGAGACCACCTTCAAGAACAATTAACACTTAATTAAACATTAATGGTCATTGGCCAGACTTCGCCATTTGTAAATTAATGTACTCAATGTATTTGTTACAATTTTGATAAAAACTTGTAAACATATTTGCTAACATGGAAATACACGCTGATAAAATGTTGAAGACCTTCCAGGCCGTACTTTTTTGCCATATCAGGATCCGAACAATATGAATATGTTTACTTAATATTCAGTGATTTTCCAGTTGTTTCATTGCATTATCATGCCTAGAGTTCGCAGACCCGCTAATTTCACTCAACTTTCCAAGTTTGAGAGGGGTCGGATAATCCGGTTACGTGAAGCCGGTACATATACGAGTATTGTGCTGCCCTTCGGAAATTTTTTACATGATACATTTGCCGACCAAGAGATGCCCAAAGTAAGAACCTATTGAAAAAGAGGATTAGGAGGCTCCGTGGAACAGGCTCTACTCTCAGTCAACCCAGTCCTGGCCCCACACATACTGTATCAACAAAAGTTCCACTGAGCTTGAAAAATTACCAGCCCCAAATATAATTTGTGCGCCCGCCTCCATTTTCTATGTCATGTAGTATATTTTATTTATGTGTGTTCCAGGTGACACTTGATTTGTTTTTTCTTTTCATATTCACATAAAAAAGTTATGATGTTAAGAATTTGACCAAAATTTTGCGTATTGCGTTTATTTTGAATTAGATGTTGAGTGTATTTTACACGTCACTGGTTTCCCCTTTTATCTGCCCTTAAAACTTGCGGGGACGAAATTTCGAGCAGTGTCAAATCTGCGGGGACTATACACTAATTGTTTGGACCTGTTTGGCTGACTTGATCCATGTACTTTTTCTCAGATGAGGTAACTAACAATAGCTACACCCTTTAATAAAACCCATTACTTACATAAGTGAAACTGCTTCGAGTGGATGTGTAACTTCATTGCCCTCGTTTTTGATGCTCAATTCTCCCTCAACTGCACAATGGTCTGTCATAATTTTTCCCTTATTACTCCAGCATATTCAACACAGTCAAATTCGTTGGGATCACTTTTTAAACTAAAACAAATAAAATAGTAACAATCGAAGTTATGTGATAAAATGTAGCATATGTGCTATTCCAGATTATAATCTATCTCTGTACCGATTTTCATCCAGATCCGTTCAGCCATTTTGCCGCGGTTGAGTAACAAACATCCATACTTTATCATTTATAATATGAGTAGGGGTTTAAATGTGGCTCGATCAAGGTATGATATAAGTATAATGAATAAGTATAAAGATATTTTTCTTTTAAAATGTTTTTGATATTGTATTTAATTTTATATGATATACCCGTATATCTAGCTTTTTTAAAATATATTAAATATGTATATATAGTATGACATTACATTCCGATGCTAATATACTTCAATTTTAATGTGCAGTTTACTTTGCAATCCAGTCTTAACTAAAACTAACGCAAGGACAAAATGGAAATGAATTGGGGCAAATTTGGTTTTTCCTCCCTATCTACTACTTTGTATCGCTTAACGGGGCTCCTACAATCACGAGCACCATCTGCTGAGGTAACGGGGGCTGAAAAGGAAACGAGGGTGGGCTGGCCTTAGACGGTCGTCGGCGCTACTTTAAAAGAGGAAAGGATGACTGCGGGTGCGTACCGAGGTAAATTTTTATAATGACAGAGTCGGATTTTGATTTGCAATATAGCCTATAAATCGTTTCCTATTTTGGTACTCAGCAAGTGATCATTTAGTACTGTTCTACCCTTGTTACTGTTCGTCGATATTGTGTTGCTGAATTGTTGTACTCTTGTTGATGTGATTGTTCTTGAGTGCCTTTTTATCAAGGTTGGTAATGGACAATAAAAGGTCAAATGCGACCATTTTAATTACGAATGCAGTGAGTTTAATTTATGATGTAGTGAGCCATAATATCCAGCGGCTTGTCTATGTGGTCCAAATACATTTGCGTTATAAGCTTAGTCAAACCTCCCTTATCGCTAAGATGGAACAAAGACTCAAATGCAGGAATCTTGAAAAGACCAAAAAAAGCTGATATAAAGAATGTACAATTGTACACAACTTCATCCAACTTAAAGAATGGATCCAAATTTATAAGAAGAACTGAAAAAGAGGGGCTGAAGTATCTCCCTTAGCACACTTACCTTACAAAAACAGGAGATAAAATACTCCTTGGCAGTGAACAGGTTCCCAATAAAAAAGCAACAGAGATAAAAGTTGGTGCAAAAAGGTGTGGTACTAACGAAATGGTAAGCCTGCATGAAAGAAATCGACAAGGTGATAACACAAAATCGGATAACAAAAATGATACAACTTATGATGTTGACGCAATATTCAGACCAAAATCTTCAATTTTTCATACCCCACCTAAAGTAAGCCAAGAATACCATAGAAGCCCCGCGGATGTTCTTCAGAACACCACCCTAACATTGAAAAAGGTAAAACACCCAGATCACAATCTATTCCTGGGGCAGAAAATGTTAGTAAAAGGCTGTGTCATGAAATTGATACCATAAACAGGCGCATCGATAACTCCTTTCAACACACAGGATAAAACATGCATCGTACAAGCCACTATGAATATAGTGACACAAGTTGCGTACAAAGTCAGTCAGTTAGAAAAGAGGATGTAGTGTTAGCAGCTAGAATAGAAAACACCAAGCCAAAGTATACACACACGGAGGCTTGTGGAAGTCTATCGAACGTGCAAGGAAATCAAGAGACTAGTAGAACTCAAATAGTACAACCAAGAAGTTATGCCAGTATTGTAGGTGGAAAGACAGTAAGTACAACCAAAGAATCAATAAGTAAAGTGGCAGAATCATGGACGACTCCACCAGAAAATCGGAAACTCGAGTCAATCATAAGAGTGGAAAAAACAGAAAATCCTAGGGTGGTCCTAAGTAGACTTAAACAAGAGTTGACGCAAAAGGATACTGAAGGAGGCTTCAAAAATATTAGGCAATTACAGAAACTGATAAATATATTGAAAGATAAAAAAGACATAACAATCAAATGGTCACAGGAATTGAAAAAGGATACGAGGCAAAATAATTCGTAGATGAGCTCATAAGGCTGAATAATGAAATTGAAGCTGAATTAAACTATAGTGTTACAGATAAAATTAAGGTCGTTACAAAGAAGAACTGCAGTAATCCACATAAAGAAAACTGGAATTTACAAGCACCGCCAGAAATTGCTAAGTACTTCTTAAAACTTGATCTGATAAACTTCGATTTGGTAAGGGTCAATCTTAAAGAACACATTAATTCGGCAATCTGTTCTGAATGCTCAAATTTTGGATACATTGCTAAGTACTGCCAACAGCAGACATGTTGCTACATATGTTCAGGTAAGCATGAAGCCACCAGCTATCAGGAACATGATCGTAAATGTGTAAATTGCCGAAAAATTAAATATAGTGACTTTAATCACTCTGCCGCGGCCCAAAGTGTCCACTCTACACATCGCGCATTAGGAGGTTTAGAAATAAGATCAATTACAGCTAGGATTTTCAAACATAAACAGGGAACAAATTGATGCTGATGAATCTGACACCTATGACTTTTTCAAACAAATGGAGGAATACAACAGAATAGCTCTACTCCATCAAAACGTCCAGTCGGTTGTAAACTCATTAAATGAGGTAAACCAGATGATAGCAAATAATAGTGACTGTAAATTCATCTGCATCACTGAACACTGGGAGAGTCAAGACCAAATTATCAACTATGGAATTAGGAACTTTACGTTAGCATTGTGTTTTTGCAGAGGGGGGAGTGCAGTTTATGTGAGGGTGGGAGTTCAGTGCTCGGAAAGGTCAGATATAAAATCATTATTTGTGGAAGGTTCCCTGGAGTGTGCTGCAGTAAAATGTTCCTTATATGGGTTGAATTTCATAATGTTGTCAATATATAGACCACCATCTGGTAATATGAATGTTGGAACGAATTCTACTGAAAATCCACACAGTGCCACAATTTTCATAGCCGGTGGTTTTAATATAGATTTTTCTCAGGAAAGTCTGAACAAACAACTCTTATGTTCACTTTTAAATTCATATGATTTACATCAAACTATACACATGCATAACATCCACCAGTGGATCTTGCATTAACAATATTTTCCCCAATACATCAACTTATGTATCTAATGTCATTAATTCATTAATCTCAGATCACACTGCTCAAAAAATAACAGTGAAGGTTAATATGCACAATTTTGGTGATTTTATACAGAAAAGGAAATTCAGTTCAGAAAATAAAGAATTTTTTTAACTAGCCTCAGATCTGTAAACTGGCAAAAATTACTTCAAATTCCTCAGAATGATGTAAACAAACAATGGAATTATTTTAGTAGTATATTTCAATCTATTTTTGATCAATCGTTTCCTATGAAAACGGTAAAAGTGACAAAAAGGCTCCCTAACCCAAATCATTCTCAGGAATCGGATAATAATATTAAGGAATGTAGGGACCGACTGGATATTCTATATGTTATAAGCAACAGTGACAATTCCTATAAACCATGCTATAACAAAGTCAGCAGAGAGTACAATCTATTGTTAACTAATGCCCAATATGTCATATCAAAGACGTATACAAGAGTCAGATAATATATCAAAATGTGTGTGGAGTATGGTAAAGGTAATAAAAGGTCAAAATAGAGATGACTGTGTTATTCGAGGTGATCCTGAAGTTATAGCAAATGCTTTCAATGAATACTGTATTAATTAAAATATTACCACAGGCACCAATACATAACTCTTCTGACTTTTTAGACCATGTGCAAGAGTGTATGCTACTACAATATTTTACTGCTCTAGAACTAGCAGAATTGGGCAAAAAACTTAAAAATAAAATGAGTAGTGATGATGATGGCATTCCAGCTAGTATTTTAAAATATTGCTTAGTAGTGATTCTGGAACCTTTGTTTCACGTAATAAACAACTCACCAAGTACAGTATTTTCCATGAAAAACTTAAATTAGCTATAATTATACCTATATATAAAAAAGGAGATCCTAGAGACTTGCTAAATTATAGGCCAATAAGCTTACTGTTATTTTGAAATAAATTTTTATTATTATTATCTCTCTATCCCCGCATTGGGAGGCGCAGGGGGTAGTTGGGAACTCCTACTCTATAAGCTTCAAGTGAAAAAACAGTGAAATCCGAAGTTCTACAAGACGCAACAGTACCATAGACATGAGCATCAAAGGGACTGACAGGACAGGAACTGTCGCATCTGTATAATTGGTGTTGACAAAGTTAGCAGGATACAATTTCAAATACCAAATGGCATTCGATATTTACCCTAAGCATTTATTAATTACCTGTTTTTATTATTCATGGTTTCAGTATTATCATTTTCATTCTTCAAAAGTATCTGTCCCATTGATCTGTCCGATCAGCTCTACTGGAGTTTCCCCAGTGTTTCTATGGAATACTATAATGTGATATGCGGATTGATCTTCAGCTTTTATTTCTTTGCTTTGCTTTGCCAAATTACATTGATCAGGTTCACCGTGACAAAAATGAAATTGAAACAAAGCTTTCATAGATGCAAACTTCAATCTCCAAGAGTACCTAACGAGATGGATTAATAATTAAGAAAAATAGTTTACCTGTTCGTATTTATTTTTGTTTACAATACACCTTACACATTATGATTTGAAAAACCAGAAAATAGGAACCACCACAAAACATATACACTGAAAGAATACTAACTCAGTGTAATTCAACCAGCAATACGAATGTCACCATGGTTTCGTGGTGAAAGAACAAATATGACGCAGAAAGACCGCCTGCATACTCAGAACAATTCGACGAATGACATATGCCGCCATGTTTCTTACAATGACATACGGTGGTGCTCTTATGGTTGCCTACTTTTTGAATGGTTTTCCTAATATAGTCAACGCCAAACAAAGTGGCGTGCACGTCATCACGATAAAAATTCCCCGACCTAATGCCTAGGTTTCTATCACAAACAATTGCTCTATTGCAGTTTCATATTAATGTGATATATAAATTGTAAAATGGTCATTACTCTCTTATTATGGTTAATAGTCATATAAACATTGTTATTAAAATATCACATAAGTTGCTTTCTGATAAATTTAGACGCATTATGCGAAATAAAATGTTTTGCAAACGCTCCAATTACTTATCGACATGTAAACGCACTAAACCGATTTCGCAGCGTTGACACATTGTCACCTTGAAACTTATTTAAACTGGCAACTGACATTTGTATTAATTTTGACACTGAATCAATTTGTGGCATTTCAAATCTTTATAAATCCTTTGGCCCCGCATACTGTAAATCAACAACTGTTTGTTTCAAAACAAAATTATTCATTTTACGAGTAGATAAAGGCAATTTTGGTATATAAAGATGCCCAAACAGTTAAATAGTCGGTGTAAGGAACTCGTGGCCTCGTTAATGCACTACTTTGAGCAAGAAAGGGACAACAACGGGCCTTTGTTGCCTTTAAATGCTGTTCAAGAGGTAGGTTACTAATAATTATATGTAATGTATATTAATAATAGTGAAATTTTATTTCATTTTTTGTAGCGTGTTGCTGCTGCTTTAAAAATTAGTTTAAGGACAGTTAGTCGTATTTCCGAGGGTGTGAAAAGTGATGCAAATTTAGAATCGCCCAAGAAAAAGCGGAGTTATATTAAACGTGTAACCAACACAGCGACATTGGATACAAGTGCCATTCGAGAAGTGATCTATAATATGTATCACAAAAGTAAGATCTTATTATAATAACTTATCAGAAATTTGCATTAATTTGTTAACTAAATTATAATGTCATATTACACATGGTTTCAGAAGAACAAGTTACGATACAAACTTTATGGTCTCGATTAAGAGATAGGGCATTATTTGATGGTAGTGCCACGTCTTTAAGGCGGTTGCTTAGAGATCTTGGATTTAAGTGGCTTAAGGACAATCCGCGACGAGGGCTCATGGAACTACCAAGTATAGCTTTGAAAAGGGTGGAATTTCTAAGGCAATACAATCAAGCCAAGGTTGAGGCCTTATACCAGTTTGTCTTCCTCGATGAAACTTGGATATTTCAAAATGGGACCATAGGTCGCTCTTGGCAAAATGGAAACCAAAAAAGCGTGAAAGCTATTAAAACAGATGGTAAAAGGTATGTACTTTTACACAATTTGCACTATAAAATTTAAAACTAATATATTTTAGATACATTATATTACATGCTGGAAATGAAAATGGGTTTATTGAGGGTAGTGAAGCGATATTTTCTTCGAAAACAAAATTGAGCGATTACCATGGAGAGATGAACCAGGACAATTTTTTGAAATGGTTTCAACATCAGTTATTAGAAAAATTGGAGAGTCCATCTATGATTATACTGGATAACGCCCCTTATCACAGCATGATATTGAACAAAGTGCCCAACAATGCATGGACAAAAAAAAATATCCAAGATTGGTTGACAAATCAAAACATACCATTTTTAAACACAATGTTTAAAACAGAGCTATTGAGTATTGTTGCTCGGTACATAATGCTTCTTAATTATATACAGGGTGGCCAAACACGTGACGTCATAAAAAAAAATTAGATTCCCCACATCGAGAGGAACCCAAATCACCCCCATATATATGGTCCGATTTTGTTTAGTTTAGGAGTTATGATTTTTTTTCGGATTTTTCGAGAATTTTTGAGTTCTGTGTTTATTTTTACCATAACTTCGTTAATAATTGTGATAAATGCCTGCTTTTTTCACGATTATGTAGCTAAGACCTAAGGCTTAACTATCATATAATCATTCAAGTCATGTAACTAATACTACTTTTTAATTTTTTTCAAAATCTTCGAACATAACAAAAAAGTAAAAAAGTGCAACAACTTTGAACGTTTATAAAAAATTGAAAAAACATGTTCTTACTATTCGTAAGTATCTTAAGAACTTCCTTACGGTATCAGCTATTTACCGTAAAAATTTCATCAACCTAGCTTTACTACATGCTACCGTAATTGTGGCTCAAATAGAACCGAACCCAAAATTGGATAACCCTCTGCTCAATAGAAATTGTTAGTTTCGGAAAAAAAATTTGCAAAAACCAAAAAAACACGTTTGATTTTTACTGAACAGCAGATTATTATTCATTTATGTTATTTACAAGAGGTTTTCAAAATGTCTGCCTCTAACAGAAATGCACAGTGTACACCTACGTATGAAATTTTGTTTTAAATCTCTAAATGCTTGTGTGTTGTTTTTCAACACATGTGTCGCTTCTTGAATTTTGTTCCTCAATGAATTTTCATTTGCACATTCTTGGGCGAATGGTAAAATATCCCCAAACAAAAAAATCAATGGGGTTGAGGTCAGGGGAGCGTGGAGGCCATCGTATCGGTCCGTTTCGTCCGATCCATCTGTCTGGGAACCTTTCGTTTAAGTAGTTTCGCACGATCGTTGCGTTGTGGCATGGTGCACCATCATTCTGGAACACCATGTTCCGTCTGGCAGTTCAAATGGACCGATAAATTGATGACGTGTCCTCTGTTGGTTGGCCTAACCAGAGCCTGAAAAATTAAAAAGTAGTATTAGTTACATGACTTGAATGATTATATGATAGTTAAGCCTTAGGTCTTAGCTACATAATCGTGAAAAAAGCAGGCATTTATCACAATTATTAATGAAGATATGGTAAAAATAAACACAGAACTCAAAAATTCTCGAAAAATCCGAAAAAAAATCATAACTCCTAAACTAAACAAAATCGGACCATATATATGGGGGTGATTTGGGTTCCTCTCGATGTGGGGAATCTAATTTTTTTTTATGACGTCACGTGTTTGGCCACCCTGTATATTTTGGTCGACAGTTTATATTTCTTTTGTTTATTCCTATTCTTAAAATAACTGCTTTTTTAGAAACAAACCACCTAAAATATACGTGATTGATGAATTGGCGGAACAACATGGGCACAAAGTTCTTCGTCTGCCTCCTTACCATTGTATATTTAAAACTATTGAGTTAATTTGGGGCATAGCAAAAGGTTACTATAACAGACATATTGGTAGAGATGGTAACAGTAAAAAGACTGTTTGGATATGTGGAACAAGGCTCTACAAACGGTTACCCCAGACATGTGGAAAAATAGTGTTCGACATACTGAGCAAGAAATTTTTAAATGGTATGAAAGAGAACGAATTTTTGATCGACCAGAAATCGAACCTTTAATAATCAACTTTAAGAGTGATGAAGATTCAGATTCAGACAGCGCTGAAGAAAGAAACTCCGACTAACTTTATTGTACAGAAAAAGCTTACACCAGTAGCTTACCTAATTTTAGAATGCATTTTTCTGTATGAATTCTGTAAAATAAATACCATGCATAAAATTTGGAGGACCCCATTTGGATTTTTATTCAGTACCTTTAAGCTATCAATTAAATATGGTAGTTTCATAGTGTCATCTGATCAATAATTGTCATACTTAATGATTATGCAAGTACAGATCTATAATTTTATTATACTATTATTTTTGTTCTCATTTGAGGTTAATATTGCTTATAAACCTAGATATGTAAATAATAAATTTTATTATTTTACAAAAAGTTTGGCAACAATGTAAATTTTTCAACACACCCACCTTGATGACGTGCACGCCACTTTGTTTGGCGTTGACTATACTTCTGAATAAACATTAATTTGCAAAATTTTACATTTATTTTACATGAGTAAAGCCTGTATGTATATAGTACAGGCCATATATAGTAATTTAATAACTCAACATAGAATTCTAAAAAATAAAATAAAACACAATTCTATCACAATACGGTAAAAATGTCCTGGTCAGGTATATCACAGCCAGGTTTGTGATCGTTCATCCATGGAGGTACATGAAATAATTAAAAAACCAGCAGCAAATATTCGAAAATGATTTACCTGGTGGCTTTCAATTTTTTCATTTTCCATGAATGACCATCAGATGTTTCAAGAGGTCTTTTCAAAGAATTTTTGTTAATGATATTTTTGAGGTCATCGTGAAAATTGCATCGCTGAAAATTTTCAAGCAGTTGTGTCAGACCTGTTTTGAAGGAGGCTTGAACATTAGGCAAATGGGCAAACTTATCCAAAAAACTATACAGTTTTACATGGATAGTGCTTCCTGACATGTAGGGCATTAGGGGATGTTAACATCACTTTGTGTTTCAGTGAATTTGATACACTTCAGATTCCCTTTCTGTTTATTGACTTTTAATTACTTATAATTGTGAAAGGCATGAACCCGAAGTATCTGACAGAAATATATATTTATCTTGATAATGAGTCTGTACCACAAATTCTGGCTTAGAATAGCAGTGATAGTGTTCAATTGTACTTACATCTGTTGAGTCTTTCGTGCTTCTTTTGGCAGGCAATTTACATCACTTGCTGCCGAAGTTGAATCACAAATGCTTGCTGAGAAACCAATAGAGCATTCCTTCAATGAAACTGCAATATCAGAATGACTAATGGGTTGACTTAGAATTTGACCATCAATATCTTTTGGAACTTCAAGACAGTTCAAACATGAATAGGGATCCTGAAGGGAAACATGAACAGACAGTACGAACAGGTCTTCGCAAACATAGTTATCAGATTTTGTACTGGAAGCTAATCCACAGGCATTGTATCATAATTGCCTTTGACTGGGATTTTTTGGGAATCGATGAAATTTCTTGGATGGGGGATATGAATGACTTACATTCAATATGTATTTATTTTGGCAATGAGG